TGGCGCATATAGTGCGTTGATGAAAACGCGCGCGTACACCAAACCATGTGCTATCGATATAGACGAGAGAGAAAATTCCATTTCCATCAGCGTTATTTTCTTCTTACTTACTCTATACCATTCCGCTTGGTCCCTCTGTCAAAATGAACGCCAAACACGCACGTAATAAGACAACATTGACATTATTTAATTCGTTTTTCGTGGTGCCAAATCCAAATCAATGTGGCTCAAATGGTTTTGGCATCGTTGTTTGAAATACGGGGATTTTCTACTCTTTCACTACCAATGCGATCATGATAATAACGGAATTCACTTCACGCTTCTGATTTCAAACGATTCAGATTATCTTTTACGTATAGATGCATGTTCAACGATAGTTTCGATTTCTATTCTACAATATTTGGCGATGTGCTTTCTTTCCATACCAACAAATGATTTCTTCTCTCTCTCTCTCCCTTTTTTATTTGCTGCGTGCACAGCAAAAAGTTTCAGTCGCCTCTGCCACCGGTTCAAAAATGACAATGTCAATTCACCACACTCGTTCATTTGTCGCTGAAACTTATATTTACCCCATTTTCATTTAGAAGAAATTTACATCTGATTTAGACAAATAAATATTGGTGTGACACAGTTGCTTGAGTTTTATTTATACGATTTATTGCCTTTCCGCATTTGGTATCGTGCCACATCGAAAGACTATTACTCAGTTGGTGGTATATCGATGGCGGGACGTTTTCGATGACATTTTCGATTCCCATGTTTCTCGCCACCAATTCACAATATGTGTAAAATGTTGAAGTGAGAAGATGTAGCAAATGATGTCGGTTTAGAGTGCAGCATTTTTGTATAAAAAAGAGACTCGAAGTAAATTGCCGAAACACGACATTTCATTCCAAATTCATATTCGATTCAGCAAATTCTCAAATAAACATTTGTCGCTTAAATCCCATATCATCGATTTTTACCTCCGTCGCTATGGGAATTCATGAATTGTTTCACTCTAATTTTTGCTTCAGCTCTGAAATGTCTGACAATGAAAGGATCTTGTTGAAATGAGTGTGAAGTTTAATTACAAATGTGCTACTTATTTACCCTACCGAACTGTTTGCCAAGATTCAAATTTATATTAACCTCTTAGATTACTGTGATTCTGATAATAAACATTTTTCATTATTCACTATATCGATATAGACGTAGATCAATTCAAAATTTCAAATTTTGTGTAAAAACCAACAGACATGTGACTTTGAGAACTTTCATCAATGTAATGTCGCAGACTAAATGAAGCATTTGAGTGCGAATTAAATTCATCATGATTAACTTTAACAACAACGCATCAGAGTATAGCGCACATCGAATTCCATATGATTGAAAACTTTGTATATTTCAAGTGCGCCTGATTACAAATACAGATAACACCATCAATACAGATAACACCATCCTTTTTATAACACCATCCATACTCCACGCCGTGAAGAGATTTTGGAAAGAATTATTGTATCAATCACACATATTAGAATACGTAATACATACTTATCCATTTTACCAAGATCGCATTTTACTAAAACAAAGCTACGAAAAAAGAACCAAATGAAAGAAAAGTCCGATTTATTTTTTATTTAATACATATTTTTAAGTTTTATTCAATAGATATTGAACGAAAAGTATGCATTTGTGTTGTATCTCCATTCACATCTGATTAAATGTTTTTTTTTTGTCTTTTTTTGTTCATATATTATACGGTAAATTTTTGTGTCTATATTTTGTCATATTTCATAATGGATGAAACGTTGATGCAATTCTTAAAAATCTAGTTTAAAATTTTTAATAGGGTTACTAAATACATGTAGTTTCATTTTTGTAGATTTTTATTTTATTTTTTTGTTCGGCTCTTGTTTAAATTCTTCCATTTGATGCGCCATTATATGAGTGGTACATAGTATGTATATGCAGTATGTATATATTTTAAAGGTAATGTATGATTTTCCATTACACACTTCACAGATACCTCTTTTGTTGTTCAACATTTACCTCAATAATATTATTAAATAGCATAGAATATATATGAGAGAGAATGTTATTGATATTTTGGGTATTTATTTAGAAAATTTCATACAATCTCTATCTCGTTTCGATGGAGAGTTTGAAATTTATAATCAATAAATATCATACCGAAAATTGAACCAATTGCAAACCGTGCCATTTTTATATTTTTTAAAATGAAGGGCAGTACATCAAGTTGGCATCATTTTTCATAATTCAGCATTTTACCTTCGACCCTTTTTTCAAATTTTATTCATTATCTCTGACAGTTTGCTGTTCATTTACAAAAGTACGTTCATTACATTTTTTCCATTACTGAAATGAATGCACAATAATAAAATCATCTTTCTCTTTCTCGCTCTTATTTTTCAATGAATCTCGTCTGTTTTATCAATACACACATTAATATTGTTATTATTATAATTATTATTATCAAGAGAATTGGATGATTTTATCCTCGTATTTTGTTTGCATCATGTTTTTTCTCATTTCGGCTATTGAATATGGGGAGTTAATTTCATTGGATCGAATCAATTAAAATACGCTTTCGTTATGTAGGTATTTATTCAAAGTTATTTGTCAATAAATATATACTATGTGTGTGTGTGTGTGTGTGTGTGTGTGTGTGAAGAGAGAGTGAATGAATTCTGATGAATGTTTGTGTTTGGTTTCGTGAGCGAGTGTGTTTATCGTTGGTGATTGTGTATTGATTGAATTCGATTGAATTGAATGTTCAATTGAAAAAGTGGGCAATAAAAATCTTGGGAAAAATGAGCAATCATTTTAACATCCATTTCCAATCCCTCAGTCATGAATAAAATAAGCCATTATAATTTGGGCCGTTGGCAAGGATAAGAATAGCCTATAAAAGGATGCAATTCATATTTAATTGTTCGTTCTCAACAATCAATTTGTATGCTCAGTGTGTAATTAAAAGATAAAAAAATGATTTTTTACATATTAGCTTGCATTTTTTTTTATTTCCACTATATGTTCGCTATAATTCCATTTATTTTGAAAATATTAAAATCACGAAACCATTATCGATGTGTGATTTTGTAGAGATGTTGTAAATGTATCGCATGAAAACCAAAATTGATTCGATTTTGTTGTCTATAGATTTTCGAGTGAAAAATGATGATTAATATGAATTGTTCTATTTCGAATAGAAAGTTTTAAGTCTTGATTTACGATGGATGATACAATCGAAAACTTTACCTTTTCGATCATTATTTTGTAACGGAACTTTTCAGCGATTGCTCTACATTTCCTAATGTTTTGCCCATCGAATATAGATTTCGATGCCCAATTCTTATCAACATTTATCGAAAATGTGTTCGATTTGCTGCACACGAATGGTAGACAGCTGTAATATGCAATGGCTCTTGCACCAATACCATTCTACAGAAATATCGAATATTTTCGCCACGAGTTTAATGTGAAATATTTTAGGTCATTTCATATCATCGAAAACTTGAAATCACACAACACAAATCCATTTATAAATAAATACTTAGTTTTTATCTCTAGATTTCTGCAATTATCGTGAATAAGATATACATTTCATTTAGTTTATTTACAAAATTTTCAGATTTTCTCTTTTATCTAGATTGACCCAATTGAAATATAGTTCAAATCGAATGGATCGTTCTTTGATCCGAAACAGCAAACTCAAATCACATAGCATGATATTCTATGCGAAAACGATTCATTTAGATTAATTTAACATGGAAATAGAATTTCTGAACATTCAATTAAAAACATATATAACGAAATATCTTTGCTTGCATGATTTACAAGTCTTTTCTTTTCACATATATTTTTTTCTTGAAACGATAAGATTCATCCCTTAATCATCATAACCTTATATTTATATAAATGATTTACACATTTCCTTTGAGACAGTTTTTTTTATGTGTATTTGGTTGCCACTTGTTCAATATTTTGTGCACTGAAATGGCAAACAAAAACAAAAAGATAATTGATTTCGACATAGATAAATCGATGTTCGTTATTCGGTTACACCAAGAGCCGATTTTCCACATTCCAACTCAACGTATGGCACAAATCCAACTTCAGCTTAAGCTATTATGAAATATATTAATCATTTCCCATTTATATGATGTTGTATGGGTGTATGCATTTTGGGTTCGAAAGAAAACGCTAAAAATAAACACATAAAAAACACTTCATTCGCGAATGATGATGATGTTCACTCTCTTTTTTTTACAAAATACATTCTATCTTATCTATCAATGTTGCTCTTTCATGTATCGGCAAATATTTATAATTTTCATGCCTTGTTACTGAACGTAACAAATGACAGATAGATAGATCATTTAAATTGGTATTTTATATTTTGTATTAAGTCATTAAAATCTAATCTAAAAAATAAAAATAATACCTATATGATGTGTGAGCGCAATGAAGGATTGCCACGAAAATTGGATTTTCCAAAATCCAGTCAATGTACATTTGATTAACTTCAAAATTATATTTCACGGTATTATGTCAACCGGAAATCTAATTAGCGTCAATTGGTTCTCATTTTATGTATAATAATACAATTTTCAAATGCATAAACGATGTTTGCTTCCTTTTTTGTCCCGCACTTGTTTGGCTTTTAATGAAACATTCTTGGAAAATTTGGTTGAATATTTGGTATATCTGTAGTGAATCGAAATTAATACATAAAATAACTTAATTATAGATGGCTATATATTCGATTTTAACTCTTTTTTTACACATTTAATTGTAAATTCCAAAACATTTTATCTCACTTTCTCTATCAGTGTATGTATTTTAACAGTTCACACACACGTTTAAACTTAGTTTTATGGTGATTTGATTTTAATTTAAACATCAACATGGTTTACTTTTTTTATATTTACAGTTCATATTCAATTTGTAATTCTCAAAAAACGAATATTGAATTCCAATCAATTTTGGATGCTTCAATTAAATTTTTCAATGATTTATTTGTTGAAAAACACTTTAATTTGCAAATCATGAATTATTTATAAGATTTGTTTTTTATTATTGGGAATTTCTAAGCACATCATGTGCAGTGCACCTGCACCTCTATGCTCACATTCAGTTTATAGTTTCTTTTTGATTTAAAAATGTTCAAATCCAGGAGAAAAAAAGTACAATGCCAATTATTCGAAATCGGAATGCATCATCTTTATAAATTAATGTACAAAAATAAACTATTCAACCGATTTGCAATTAATGAAAATGACAATTATCATAGTCAAATGCATAAAAAAACGTCTAACTAGTTGTATTCTCACCCAAATAAAAAATTTTTAACAATCTCAAATCGTAGATCTTTTTCAATTTCTAACCAATGAAAAAACGAAAATTTGTTCTCTAAAAATAAAACGGAAAATCAGATCAATCTTAATGCTAATCTATGATTTTACTTTTAGGCGTAATATTTCTTGGGCTTGCTGCAGTTGATTTTTAATTAGACTAAGAGTTTTCTTTTTTGAATGTGAATATTTTAAGTGTTTCTAAATTTAATTCGCGAGCACATAAATATTACTGGTTTGGGAGGAGGGTGTATGGCGGGTACAATATTTAAATGCGCACACTTTCTGAACGAAGAAAAAAAAAGTCGAATGTGTGACAGCCATAGGCTATTTAACACAAACGCGATCCTATCACATATACATATACTTGCATTCCGCTCACACATTTCTCTCATGGGTGATTTATTTGCACGTTGCTTTGCATTTTAGATAAAATGAAAGAATGTTCGGTTGGTTTGCTATGGGAGTTGGTTGTGGGTTTTTTTTTACAAAGTTTTAAAATTAATTACATTGTCTGTAATGATTTATATTAGCCCATATTGTTCCTTATCTTCTTATTTAGGTGAAAGAATGGCGCGCACTCCGTTGACGATCTATGTAATTTGGCAAGTTCGTCTTTCCACACAATGTAAGCACAATTGTGCCCCCACGAATTTGCTCAAGGCAAATGAGTTCAACCGTTTTGCTTTCACATTCATGCAAATATTATACATTTTATTTGCACAAGAAATAACCGTACACATATATATACTACTATGATTTTTTTGTTGTTGTTGTTATGTAGATTTTCGATGAGCGAATTTAACTATAAGATTTTTACCGCCATAAGAAAGACGAGTGATCTTACCTTATAGAATAATAATAATAGTAATAATAAAGTTTTCTACGAGCAATTTGTGGTTATTTTGCTCAATAAATTTCCATTGAAAGCGATGCCAAATTCACTTCTGGTTTGCATTTATCATGTTCGCCTACGATTGTTTTCTTTAGCATTGTTTGGTTTTTCTTGATGTCCATTGTGTGTGTGTGTCTCTTTCGGTGTTTGTGTATTGTTGTATGTTTGAGTGAGATTGTGTGTGGGTGAATTATGCCGAATTTATTTCGGTTATTTGTGTATGTACTTTGTCTTCGTTGACCCTCAATTCAATTATCGTTTTTGCCTTACCTTAAAATCAACTATTGTTTGTCGCCAACAGCAAATGAATGGACACGGTGCCAATAATGTAATGGAATAGCCAGCATAGTATCGTGTTTGGAAATTGTTTATAAATCGTATGGATAATTATGTGCAATTGACCTGATAATAATTCGTACACTTGATGCACCATTGTTGGCAACGTTGTGATACTGCTGTAATCAATGTGTAGCCGATTGTGTTTTTGTGCATTGGCTGCAGCCATTGCATCAGTGCTAACTGCTTTATTTAGTCGCTGTTGTTCCGTAGTTACAATGGAATGGAAATCATCAGTGGCCATATCGTTAATATTATATAGCTGGCTTTGGTCGTTGTCCAAGTGAATAGTGTCCGTATTTCGATTACGTGCGAAGAACGCACCAAAAATCGACGGAAAAAATATACTACTTGCGCTACTGTTCGCAAACTGCATTGCAGCTGGATGTTCACCTATATTTTTTTTATTCATTCGAAACGAAATGTAGAGAGAGAGAGAGAGTATAGAGATTAAAACTATGTATTGAAAAAAGAAAAAACAAGCAGACGTAAACCATGTATTTTACCATGTATAACGTGGACCATAACACTTGCTGCATCTACCCGGTCGAAGAGCCATTGTTTGGCGTTTATCGTTTTTTTTGGTAGTTTTAGTCGTGAGCCAGAGCGCACCATTCGAAAACGTGGTTCATCGACGGGAACAATGGTGTGCATAGCGTCAACAGCAATGGCATCAACAATGAATAGTTTTATCGATGATGAAGCGACGTTGCAATTGAATGAGGCGCGCATGTGGCGTTCAGATGGATCGGGTCATACCATAGAAATATCATGTCGAGTTGAATGTTGGCGGTCCACAATTTTCCATCGCCATTTTGCAAGAGAGACGTGTAAATTTGTTATTGTTGTCAACGTAGCCGATGTCACATTAAATTAAATTCGTTGCGAATTAAGCAATCGAATTATTCGATTCGAAGAGCAGATTTCCCATGATGTGCATAGCCGCCAGAAAGCCGAGAAGCACGCGTTTGAAATCACCCAATTGCGCGTGTAAATCACCAGACGTGCCCATGTTAAGTGGCATTATGGAAAGAAACAGAGAGAAAAACAACACGAAAACAAATTAGAAAATGATTCTTTTTCACTTTTTTGCTACTTCTACTTTCGTCTGAATCTTCGTTCGATCCATGTTTGTCGAGGATGCATTTCTTTCAGTAAATTAGTTTTGGCTTAAGGGAGTTGGGGAAAAAAAACATCAGATAAAATAACTGGGAAATGTTCAAAACGAAACGTAAGAAACAGATAACATGGAAATTACATTGCTACGTGGACAATTATTAATACGGCATCCATCACAGCTTAAGAAGAGAAAAAAAAAACAACAAGAAAAAAAATTGAGCTCGTGCACGACGAACACTTCTAACTTAAACAACGGGAACGTGTTCACAGTACCGAGAAAATGAAATTCGAAATTCAAATATTAAGTGCCGTCTAAAAGTTTATTACATTATTTTATTCTTTTATATGAACAAGATGAATAACTGCACAACGTCATGCAAATCAGATCATTACATTTAATTTACGCTCACAGAATTTTACCGTCACGGAAGTATGGAAGCAAATAAGTAGTTTTCCGGAAACTAATTATTCTCAAAAAAATTTGAATTATAATTTCGCTCAGCGTACGAATAATAATGTGCACTTAACATACTGACGATATGGGGAAAAGAAAGTTCTCAGAATCATAATAATATGTGATAATCGTGTTTATCGATTTTATCCTTCTCTCACCACCTTTCGCTCCATCTCACTCTCGCTTTCGCAATCGACGAAAATATTTTCCACAAATTCATGCTGAATTGCTATTAAATTTGACATTCGTTCAACTCACACATTATGGACGTATTCGCTTGGCTTTTCCTTCGTCCCCAGTAATACAATGTATTATAAATTTAAAGATAAAATGAGTTTGACAGTCATTCGTTCACAATTAAATTTGTTGCAAAATAAATACAATTTGTCACATACACACACACAAAAACTCTAGTTACACATTTCAGCATATATTTTTAACAAACGTTTCATATTTCTTATGAGTTGGATATATGTTGACACGCAAAAATGAAATACAAAACCATAATTTCAATTATGATATGAAATAACCGATTTTCGACCACTTTCATTGGTTTGTTCGCTTTTTTTTCTCATTTTTGTTTGTGTCGAAACCATAAATTGGATCCTTTACTGAAACTCATGTCACAGTCCACCTGCTCAAATTGAATTTCCTTATGCACGGTTTTGAAAAATGAAAAATTAAAATAACGTTGAAAAGTTGAAAGCCAATAATAGTGTGGCGCGAAAAAAGAGAGATAGAATACGATGGCATGAGAATGATGTGGCGAAAAAGAATGAGGGAATGTGCAGCAAATGCAATTCGCTAGCAAATGTTGGCATGCAGAAAAAGCGAAAATGAATTATAAATTGTGACTAACAAAGCAGAAAATTGAATTTCGGAATACAAAAAATACCGACACTTGATTTACTAAAAAATAACAAAAGGAAAACGTGTGGCTTCATTTATTTAATTTTACTTCTACCTCCTCTCTGCCACTCTCACACTTCTCATGCACTCTTCTTTCAACTGACTGGCAGTCTTTGTCTGGCAACATTATAGCAACACACTTTTCCCTGTTCCGCCAGCGAAACGTACCTTTTTTCGTCGGCATTAACATCATTATACTTTTATCACCGTAGCCATTTAAATGTACTGAGGCTAATAGCTTTTAAATGGTTTTTAACAATGACGTTAACTATGTGAATAATTTCGATTCAATCGAAACGTTTATCATGCAAAAGCATGTGACATCGTCACACCGGGCAAAAGTAATTTTTTTTTATATTCATTTTGCGATAATGATGTGAACTTTTTTTTAAATTCGATAATGTAATTTTATAACTTTAAGCTACGGGGCTTATGCCCTGACATCGCTTATATATGAATATTTTAATCAGAGTTCAAAAGAAAAATCCAACAATTTATTTTTTACTTTGTTTTTTTAACATGAGCAAAAATACTGATTAAATCTGTCTGTTATTTTCACATAGATAGCGGCGATTTTTTGTGTTCGCTCTCCAAATGCCCATTCTCTGTTGGATCACAAGAAACATTCATTTCACAGAAAATGAATCTTGTGGGAAAATGCCAAAATTCCATTAAGTCAACCGAAAAGCTTTACCTCTCAAAAACAAAAGAAGATAATTTTAACATACAACGACGATGAGCTGTTATATATATTAGTTTGCCCAGGAAATTCATTCATTTTCAACCCTAAGGCATTTCGTGACTGCTTGATCTTTCCGATATTTCTGACATTTCGCACCACTTTTCCCGCTATTCGTCTTTCATACCTCTGTGTGTGTGTTTTCTCCTTCGCTCATTGGCGGCAATTTCGCAAAGTTTCGTCCAGATTGGCGCTTCCCGTTCAAATCTTTGGCACAAGAAATACGCGCTGAAACGAATGCAAATAAATGCAAAGAATTTCGTAACCGATGTAGCCGGTATAATCTACGGATAGAATGGTATTCGACCAACGAAATTAACATAATGCCTGTTTATTCTTGCCACTATGTTCGCAATAGTGTACGTCAGATGGAAATAAATTGTGCAAAATAATATTTTGCAACATTTGCTACGGTCGATAGCGTAAAAACCACATTTGCTTAATGCATTTTAAACCGTGCAATTCCGACGAAATATTTAATTTATAAAAAATAAAGAAGAAGAAGAATAAATAAAAGCAAAGAAGGTGAGATGCATGAATTTTCAAAATATAAAAAAGGGCGTTCAAATGAAATCGCATTTAAAGTGACTGAAATAATAGCACGATTTAAAGTTGATCAATCCTTCAACAGCGGCACATGTGTGGTGAGTTGCATGTATGTTGTTCATCACGTACTAAAACATTTCAGCAAATCACGATTTTTGCTCTCTAACTCGAGAGAGAATCTTAAAATTATTGCGATTAAATGCAGCCACCAAGAATTTATGTACATTTATATAAAAATATGGAAAAATAAATGTTGATAGTGGATTGTCGGCAAAACCGCACACACCGGTATGTGATAAAAATTTATGGGTTTTGGCGCAAAGCAGCCAAAAAGTGGAGCTAGACGAATCCTGTTGCCGGTAATATATTGCAACACGAGCTTGGCACGAAAAAGCACCAGATTAGACATTCAAAACATACAGAGTTAACTTGTGCTTGAACAAATGCAGTAAACAAGCAACGATGGCGAGAAACAACTCGAAAATATCTGAAATTTCAGCGAAAGTAATGCAAAAATAGCAAGAGAATTACATCGAATTATATATTTTTTTGGTGTAATATAAACATTCCCGCACTCTGTGTGTCTCTTCGGGGAGAGAGGGAAAGACAAATATTTGCTGTTGTGTTTTCGCAATTACAATTTATCGTATTGTAAATGTTTTTGCAATGCAAAATAAAACCATTGAAGATGCTTGAAACCATTTGAGGCATTTTATAAACCTAGAAGCTGGCCCAGAGGAGAGAATAAGAGATGGTATATCTTGCGCTATTTCATCAAGCTAATCCAATTTCGTGTGTATTTTGAATGCACTATCGGAACAGTATGCAGCATTTTAATAAAAATTATTTTTTGTTTGATCCGCTAAAAATGAGTGCAAATGAAAATCCCCTGAAAGTGGCGTTGTCTAGTAGAATGTTGAAAAGTTTACCTGTAAATCGCTGCAAATTTTGCGATAACAAACTATTTTATTCAATTCAAGTGTGGATGAATTAAGTCGCTTTAAATTGATTGATTAATCATTTTAAAACAGAGATCGTTGTTCAAGCGAAAAGTAATGTTTATGAAAACTTTCAATCTCTTCACTATCATTGCAAGGCTTCACATTGCATGTCATAAAGTATATTATTATTATATATATTTCTCCGATGAGAGTATCATGCAGATGATTTACGAGCACCGAGCATGAAAAGTTACAAAAACATATTGCTAAAACGATTATTTTCCAACAAACAGCCGACTTAAAAATATATTTTACGTTGAAAAAAAAGAGAAGTGTATGACGTGCATGCAAGAAGTGAATACCACCATAACAATGCTTGTGCACGTTTAAAAAGTTTTGAGGTAATCAACTACTCATAACAAATTTCAATTGAAGCATAAATAAGCTTTGCATCCGTGCATGGTGAGAGAGCGAAAGAGTATGATGACTATTTTTGCTATCGTTCGATCATCAATTATAGTCAAATAAATAATTCGAGTGCAGGTTGAAACAAACTCTATGCAAGAATCAACACTTTCGATAAACACCACAATTTACGTGAGTAGATGATATGATTGGATGTAGTATCAAAGACGATGGTTGTGCATTTTTCGTGTTTCTTTTTGGTTACGAAACTTGATTTATGACGTTAACAACACATACCGTACTTTGTATGCCCAAACATTACAATCACATTTGAGAGAAAATTGTGTGCACTTGCATCGGAGCTTGTCAATGATATGCACAGTGTTCTCTTCGCCAGATTTTGACTTTTTTTGTTTCTATTATTTC